AACAGTAATCCTGCTGAAGTCATTCCACTTTTAGTAATTGCACTTCATGGTTGCAGTGGAAGCATAAACACTTGGACCTATATATATGATCCATATATATATATGTGTACACTAACACCTAAATGTAGGTGCCTCAATCTGGGAATGCATCCTATTCTTAAACTGAAATTCATCTTACCTATTTTAGGTATCTGTATTGTCTATGTCTAATATAGGTTGCTTGTCTAGCAAAAAGGAAAAAAAAAAAAAACAACAAAAAAGCAGACACATTTAGAAAGACATTCCTCTAACCCATATTTCTACACCCATTTTACACTGAACTAAGTCACACCCTTTATCTAGCAGGGAATCTCAGTGCTCATATCTGGTGTAAACTTTTTAAAGATAGATAAGAAATTCCACTTCTGTAACCGTGGGTAGAGTTTAAGGACTAGGCACTTGCCTCTCACAGACATCACCAGACGTCTACACCCATCCCTGGGCACCTAAGATGCATTTGAAACTAAATTTTAAATAGCTTCATCTCAATGGTGTCCAAAACAAAAGTCAAAACAATCCTTTAAAAAAACCCAGAATTTTCAGTGATACACGCAACAGACAAAAACAAACAAACAAACAAAAATTATTGCTAGGCATTTCAGTGGAACTTTGACTATAGGCAGTATGCCTAAAACAAAAGAGGAAATTATGGGATTTAAAAATGGTTCCAAAACTTTGAATTAGGGGCATTGTATATGAACGCCAAATCCATCAGTTTTAGTAATTTTAAATGGAATTCCATTTGTTGGTCTTCTTTATATTCTACTATTTTCCTGTGACTATGTAGAAAGGAAAGTTAAGGTAAAAAGTATTCTAAGTGCAACAGGCACTGCATTATGAAAGTGAACTCCGTTCATTCTCAAGAAGAAAAGATAGAACCCTTCAGCTAACTCCCAATTTCAGGAATTACGTATACTGTACAATAAATTTTCCACTGCCATATTGTCTCTTGCAAACTATTACTAGTTTTGTTGCTACAAAATTGTCACTTTCTTCAGCTCACAGACAGAAATGAAATACACCTATTCTGGAGAACATTTTTGTGCTCTTCTGGGGTAAGGAAATGTGAATTGTTGTTAGAAAAAATAACAAAGCAGCAAGCCACTTCTTCCGCAGGAGTGATGGCTTATCATTTGGGGCAGGAAAACATAAAGGCTTATTTTTTTGAACTTTAGGAGCCATCATCAGTTTTCAGTGGCTTACCAGATTCCTCCCTCAGAAAGAGCTCTAAAACTGAAAACAGTGTGATATTAGGAGGCAAAGTCTCAGCAAGGCCTTCAGAGTTTTAATAATAATCTTGACTGTATATTGAGTAAATATTCATCACAGATTTTAAATTTCATCCTCCTATTAGCAACCAGACATCCATGGAATTTAATTCTCACACAGCACTGAAAATCAGGAGAACACAACTACAGCAGGCCATAAATAGCAATCTAGGAAATATTCTGTTCTCCTGTATTTGAGTAAATATCACAATGAAACAGATGAAGACAGGCAACCCAAGCTATTCATATCTTTTGTCATCAGGAGAACGCAGTCATGTTTCCACAATATCCCAACTGTAGACATAAAGAGAGTACAGTGTTTCCTGACTGTGTGTTTTATGCTTCAGAACAGCCATGATTTCACTGGTCTAGGATTATGCCCTGATCCAAAGGATGGAAAACCTTCTCTCTGAGGACAGAGAGAGCTGGAGCTGCCCAGGGAGGTGGTGGATGCCCCAACCCTGGAGACATTCAATGTCAGGCTGGATGGGGTTCTGAGCAACCTGATGTAGCTGTAGGTGTTCCTGTTCATTGCAGGGGGGTTGGAGTAGGTGACCTTTAAAGGTCCCTTCCAACTCAGACAATTCTATGACTCTATGATTTCATCCTCCAAAAGAGAATTCGTGTTGGCTGAATTCTGTTTGCAGGATTTCTTGCAAGATGAGCATGTTTCATGCTGCTCCAGCACTTTTTACTTTGTGTTTATGTGCAGAAACATGCCATCTGTGTGTCTTCTGAGATAAAATCTTGGCAGCAAAGACAACATCACACACTGAGTAATAGCCCAGTGATTCCTGGAATGTACTGATTGCAGCAAGAGTAACTGTGTTGGGTATAATTCTGGTCACACTGACATCAAGAGAATAGGTTCTTACTCTGTTGATGAGTGTTAAACACCTATTCAGGGAGGACAGAAAAATCAGAAAACAGAAAGGACTATATCCCTCTTCCTACTTCAAAATTGCACTTGTGGTCATGGTTAAGATGTTATCAATAGCAACACTGTGTGCACTAGAGAGTGCAAAAGACTCTTAATTTAACGATCTAGGTCCTTACATAAATTTGATATTGAACACCTAAAATATCAAGTGAACTCTGACACCATCTCTGTCCAATTCAAAAGTGGTGTCAGTACTCTGCAAGCTGAATAATACATTTAATGTCATACACTCCCTTCTGTCACAGTGTAGACTTTGACCTTTCCAGATTTCTTTCTTTTACATAGAACGACTTGCAGTATCATATGTTGGAATTGCTTTATTTGTTTGTTTTTCAGAATAGTGAAAAACATTTGTTTCTACTTGCATGGGCAAAACGATACACTCAGCCATATGATGAGTTATATTAAGAACTACTTATTGCATATAATCTTATTTCATGCACATGCCAAGCGAGAAAGAAACCCTCCATGTTTGTGTTATTAAAAAATTGCTTGAGTTCTGCGGCTCCCTTGTGAAACATTTTTAATTTGGCCATCAATAAAATAGATAAGGTCCCATTCCCACCCAAAGCAATAAAATGGCTATTTTGAAAAATTCTGCATATGGCTACACGTCACTGTTAAGATCAGAAGGTACAAAAAGCTCTGAAAATTACAAAAAGCGCTCTCATGAATCTGTCAAGCTGAATGGGTTTGTGGGTTGCTACTGTACAAAAAGCACTAATTATCAAACAGCAGGTAATCTGCACAAAAATATACCTGGAATATTTCTCATGGCAGTCAGATGTTTAGCCAGTGCATATCAGTACAGCTTGAGACCAAGCATTTTTTGTCTACTTATGCCACGGGAGGATATTTCCCACTATATCTTTAAAATAACTTGGCCTTCTTTGTTCTCCTATAATAAGCCATTATTTCTGCAGCCGAAGCTCCTGAAAAACACGATTTCTGTGTCAGAGGGATAAAAATATCCCTGACACAACACTGGATTTCATTTAGAAAAGCATCAGAAGATTCACAGTTTGAGGTGGAATTTATTATTGATCATTTCAGCTCAATGCAAATTTGAAATTGTGCTCTGAAACAAATAATACACTTTTCTCAGCCAAATCCTTACAGCAGCATTAAGAAAAGATCAAAACATTTCTAAAATTAACCACTGGATTTAAAAATATTTCATGAATCCATTATTAGACATAAAGAGAAGAAAAGGGGAAGGAATCTGTTTTGGGTAAAAAATTGTAAAATTTGTACTTTTTGTCCGTTTGGTTTGTATTTCTTCAATATGATTGTGATTTGTGCTCTGAGAATGTTCAGCTGAAGCAGAAGACCCATTTTAATAAGCCCCACAGACACAAAGTTACAATATGTAATTAACCCCTGGAACATTATAAAACACTGATTTAAATCTGAAACAACCCCTTCTGAAGCAAAATCAACCTTTTTGAATTAAAATTAGCTTCTGTTTTATCCCAATTGCAGTGCCCGTAAAATCATCTGCAAAGCAAATGAACTCCAAATTGTTTTTTATGGAGTTTTTTTGGCATAATAAAAAGCTCAAAATTTTCCAACATTTAAAATCCAGACGCACAAAATGACTCATTTTAAATTTAGAGCTTTACATTGCCAAAACTAAGATCAGGATCCAGTCTGCACTTCTTCCACCTCATCCAGTGTCTTCTTGTCTTCTCCAAACTGTTATTGACAAAGCTCCCTTGACACCTGCAGCTCTGTATGAGATCTGACCAACATCAGTTTGGCAGAGCAGATCTGTTACCATTTGCCTGCTGAATGGGACAAGGCAGCTTCAAAACATGCATTTTTTTGATGAAGTCCTTTGAGGAAGCATCATGTGGGTATGCCGAAAACACTCAGACAAGAGCAAAATACACCCAAACAGAGTGGCTAGGAAAATTTTCACCCCAACCTAAAATGCTGTTTGAAAAGGCTGCGGAATCAAAAGAAGTACCCTAAAGATGAGAGGGGAGAGGCAGAGCTTAAGCATAGTCAGCAAATTATATTGCTATATCTCCCCAGCTTATGCCTTGTCTGGTTAAACACTGAAACTCCTACAATTACATTCCTGGCTTTGTCTTTGACAGTTTTAGTCTTGATGCTCGAATAGATCCCTGTCTGTCACTCTCAGCCTTCCACCTGAAGAATCCTAGAAACAGAATTACAGAATGGCTTGGGTTGGAAGGGACCTCAAAGGCCATCTAGTTCCAACCTCCGTGCCACAAGTAGGGTTACCATCTATTAAATCAGGCACTAGATTAGTCTGCCCAGGGCCCCATCCAACCTGTCTTTGAACACATTCAGAAGATACTGGGAGTTTTCAAAATCCTTCTTTAGCAAAAAGCCACTTTCATCAGGATTTCAGCCAATAAGCTGCACTATGAACTCCTGGTATCTCCCATTCTACCTCTTCTTGACAAGGGGCTAAAGCTTCAAAAGCAAGGCAGAGGGACACAAGTATGACAGCATTCTCAGTCTTCACAGATCTAACTACAGTAATTCATCTGCCAGGGACCTCATCACTGGAAATTATGAGCACTGTATTAAAAACCAACAAAAATCCTCACTAAGGATTTCAAGCTCTCTACAGTTGGGGTATTTTAAAAGAAGGATCATCTATATGGGTAGAGTAGTACTTTCCTGGGAAGTATCACTTTTGGTAGCAGGCACAGTTAGCAAGCTGCAGCTGGAACTTTCAGTCTTTGAACACCTCATTTATGACACAGTCTTTCTCTGGAATAAATCTTTTTGTGATGTTACAGCTGCTAAGGTTGTAATTCTACAGAACCAGCACATCACAGACTCCCTCTGAAATCACCAGCTATTTCAGAGGTATAAAAGAACACGTCAGATTTCAGTGGGAATTCAGCACGCCAGAAAGCTTGTGAGGAACATGCTTTTAACAAACTGGTTTTGAAAGAGTCTGCTTTTACAAAGGCTGCCTGTGAGCTGCTGGCTAAGCATCCAGGTGCTGGAGCAGATTCCAGATATAGCAGGTGTTAAATATTGCAACAGTGCTATATAAGATGGGGGAAGTAATAACTCCGAAGAGCAGAAAAGTTTGATTCTGTGCTTCAGAAAATTTTGGAGCATGGCTAAAGTGATTCTGGGATATATCAAGAGCAACTGACTCTGTGGGACTTTTTCTGATTAAGCCTATGAACACCTACATGCAAAGACTGGTTATGAAACAGTGTACTCTATTAATACTCCTAATAGAAATGAAAACATGAGTGGCAAAACTGAGTAGTTGTGCAAAACCTGGTCATATGGAAACTTTAGCAGTACTTCTACTCCATACTCTCCTGGGAGGTTAATTCACATTATCATCTTTATTCTATAACTATATGTAGGCCATGAAATGTTTGCTATGAGCATATCAGGAAAAAAAAGTGCCCCAGTGCCACAAAGACATTCATAAACATCAAAATATACAGTTTTTTTCCTCCAAGTTTCTCCTCCAGCCTATTAGTCTCCCTTTTTATAAAACTATTACATGTTTGTGATGACTTTTTCCCTATTCTGTGCTCTTTTAGAAACAGAGGAGACATAAATACAAACCATATCTAAGATGCATGTGCACTGTTGATAGCATTCAACATAATGGCATGGAATATTTCTGCTTTTTTTCGCTATTAATTTCCTACTACTACCTACATCTGATTTCCTTTTTCTTTATTTATATATATTTTTTTCTCAGTAGTGAGATGTCAAGAATTTTTCACTATCTTTTCAATACCTTCTTATGCTTTAAGCAACCTTAGACCTTTCCTTTCATCTAGACACGCTGGTTTTGAGGATTTTTTCCTTCTGTACTTTTCCTTGCCAGCTGCCAAAGAAATGCTGTTTCTATGGAAAAAAATCACCTAGACCTCACTCGATTTTCACTGAAATCAAGGAAAAGGTGGATGTTAAACACAGTATGCTTTGGTAGTTAGCCTGTCAAACCAGGTGTCAAGCAGAAGGTAATCCTCCTATCTTTTGTCAGAAAGAAGATGACAGAGAAGCTGGCCTACAGCTGGGAATTTCAGATCAGGCAGAAGATGATACTAGAGTGATAACAGCAACAATAACCAAGTACAGTCATCTTTTTTGCATCTAAAAGTAAGTATCTTCCTAAGAGCCATTTAATAGATAATCCTAAAATCCTCAAAATCAGCATGCAGGTTTATTAATCCAGAGCAGGAGGAAGCTCCCAATCAAAAAAAAAAAAAAAAAGGAAAAGAAATGAACAAATGAACAAACAAATACAAATGACAACAAAAAAAAACAACACTGAAATCATAATGCACAGACATATCTCTGAGTACATATGCACACACAAGGATATTCGTCTCCTCTCTACTCACAGAGCAAAACAACTTCACCTCTCACCCTATTTGAACCAACAGAAGCAAATCTGATCTGAAAAGTGTTCAGCAGTAGGAGTATAAAAATGATAATTGAAAGTTTATTACTTAATGCTTGGCAAAGCTATTTCCCATGGCAATTTGATAAATACCTTGACTTTTCTGCTCATCATAACCTCAGACATTTATTGCCTCATTTACTTTAACAAACGTTCAGTTATCTTCCAACTACCCAGACTATATTTAACAGACTGTACAGCAGGAATGTTGCCATGGTAGAAAAAAGCCAAGGGATGAGACTGGAAGTTCAGGGGGTGGGAGGGACAACAGCTTTGCAGAGCAGCGCAGTCATTTTATGCAAAAAAAAAGCACATTAATTTAAGCAGAAATAACACCTCAGCAGCCTTGGGGAAGCAGACTCATAGAACGGATTGGGTTGGAAGGGATCTGAAAGATCATTTCCAGCCCCCTTGTCATTGACAGGGTTGCTAACCACTAAATCAGGTAGCCCAATCCAACCTGGCCTTGAACACCACCAGGGATGAGGTATCGACAACTTCTCTGGGCAATTTGTTCCAGTGCCTCACTACTCTCCGAGAGAAGAATTTCTTCCTAAAATCTAACCAGAATTTCCCCTCTTTTAGATTAAACCATTCCCCATATTGGGAAATTTCTCCTCTGCCTTTCCCAGCCTTTCCCAGCTACAGGGAGAACAAGGACCCACAGCTTCAAAGAATACATAGAGGAGCTACAGGAAACCAAGACTGGGCAAGTAGCTTGGATTACTGAAAGTATTTATTGCTTTATTTACTGCAAACCAGTTCTTGCTTAGGCAAGGTCATCCTGGACAGCAGGGCTTCACAATCAAAAGGAAATAGGGAAGAAAAATGCAGTTGGTGAGTGGATTGCAAACTTCCACAGAAGTGGGAATTTTATGGCTAAAAGGATAAATAGTTCTTGTAGCAACCCACTCACTACCTGTCCTTCTGTGGGTTAACACGGTCTGACAAAGCTGCCAGTTTGTGCCCTCTCTGCTGCAATGAATTGCTCAGAGGCACACAGCTGTGGGAGCTTGTGGTGAAGGATGGGGCTCTGCTCCTGCTTTCTGGATGTTGGGGCAGCTACTGCATACTCTACATCTGGAGAGGTTTGGGTTTTCATGTAAAGAAGGAAAATGGAACAAATTCCCAAAACAATAGAAAAGAACCTGACATCTTTCAACAGAAAGCAGGTGATGCTCATGAAAACGGAAGAAAAAATGCACAGAAGGGGATGTCAGTGGAAAACATTACCAGTCCTGGTGTTTTCACTGTCTTCTTTGGCACTTAGATATCTCCAGCAGCTGAGGAAAGATCAAAGCACTCCAAATAGACCAATGGATCACAGTGTCTTATGGAGCCAGTATTAGAAGTTTGTTCTTTGGTCTGCATTTCTCTGATATGATTCTAATTAGCTGTATTATGATGGTAGCGCCTAGAGGCTCAATTATTTCATTTCACTGGGGATCATTGCTGTATTAATTTTTAATCAGTATGCTTTAAATATTTACCAAAGTTGTTAAGAACCTGCAATGAGATGCCAAGACCCTTTTTATCAATAGAGAGGATTCAACTGTCTTAGGCAAAGTCCTGCTTGTTTTATCACTCAGCCAAAATTCAAAACTTAAAGGGAAGTACTAACCTGCTTTACTTTGTGAAGACTCTTCAGCTTGGAACTATTTGCAATGTGCTTTTTTAATGATTTCCTTTATTTACAAATTTAACCTAGAGACATTTTCTGCAAAATACTTAATTGGCTTAGTCATAAATTCTACATCCTAGATAAATTAAGAGGAGGGGTAATGGAAAAGGGACATGGAAAAAAGATGATTAATTTCAAAATATTTGCTTTGGTTTTTTTTTTTTCTTTTTTTTTTTTCCTTTTTTTCCTTAAAATTCCAGGTCTCACATGCAAAACAATGTAGAAATGTTCATCTTCTATTACAGATGTTCATCTGGATAAGGTCCTGAGCAATCTCACCATCCTTGAAAATGGCCCTGCTTTAAGCAAGGACTTGAACGATTAGGGTTAGGGTTAGGAAGTCATCCTAAAGTAGTCTGTGATTCCAGGTATATTAATGATAAATTATTCTGGAGGATATACAATGGAATTATGAAGCATGGACTACAGCTCCAGGAAGGAGTCCCACGTGGTCAGCCCTTGGAGGTTCAAGTTGTTCCCTCTCTTTAGAGATGCAAGCTGAAAAAGTAACAGATGTAAAGGTTCTCTATGACCGGGGACCCTGATCAGTGCCCCTGGCCATACTGTCCATGGATAATACCTGAAATAAACGCAATGTTAAGTCATTCCTCACAACTTAAGATTGGATTTTAAATCAGAATCGTTCTTGAATTTTGTCATTTCCCATGGCAGATTTACAGTAGAATAATCCTGGGAGGGTTGTATTTTTTGATTTTCCTTTTTCATTTTTAATTCTTGCACTCTCCTGGAGAAGCACGTAGCCCACGGCTTGGATAGGTACATTCTATGCTGGGTAAAAAAAAAAAAAAAAAAAAACTATCAGGGTAAAAGAAGTGTTAGAGAGTGGTGATGAATGGAGTTAAATCCAGCTGATCTGGTCACCAGCGGCATTCATCAGGGGTCAGAGCTGGGGCTGGCCCTATCTGGTATTTCTACTGATGATCTGGGTGAAGGCACTGAGTGCATCTTCGGTAAGTTTGCAGATGACAAGAAGCTGGGAGTGTTGAACTGCCTGAGGGTAAGAAGGCCCTACAGAGGGATCTGAACAGGTTTTATTGCTGGGCTGAGGCCAATGGAATGAAGTTCAAAAGATCAAGTGTTGTGTCATGCACTTTGCTCACAACAAAACCCATACAATGCTACAGACTTGCAGCAGAGCGTCTGGAATGCTGTGCAAAGGGAAAGGATCTCGAGGTATTAGCTAACAGCTGGCTGAACATGAGCCAGCAGTGTGCCCAGGTGGCCAAGTAGGCCAGTAGCATCCTGATTTGTATTGGAAATAGTGTAGTCATAGAGACAAGGGAGGTGACCGTACCTCTGTACTCAGCTCAGCTGAAGCCATACCTCGAGTACTATGTTCAGTTTTAAGCCCCTCACTATAAGAAAAACATTGAAGCTCTGGGATGTGTCCAAAGGACAACAAATCTGAGAAAGGTCTGGAGCACAAGTCTATGGGGAGCAGTGAGGAAATTAGAATTGTTCAGTCTCAGAGGAGACCTTATTGCTCTCTACAACTACTGGAAAGGAAGTAACTAGTGACAGGATGAGAGGGAATAGCCTCCAGTAGAATCAGGTTGGATATTAAGAAAAATTTCTTCTCAGAAAGAGTGATGAGGTAGTGAAACAGGCTGCCCACGGAGGTGGTGGAGTCATGATCCCTGAAGGTTTTCAAGAAAAGGGTAGATGTGGCACTGAGAGACAGGGTTAGTGGGCGCAGTGGTGATGGGTTGATGGTTCGACTAGATGATCTTAGATGTCTTTTCCAGCCTTCATTATTCTGTGATTATCCCCTTCCCTCTGACAGCAAGAGAAGTGAAGAATGCGTTGTCTTTGTTTTGGAGTGAAAATAAACTTCTTACACTCAATTTTTCAAAGCAGATGATTTTGTCATTGCTGATGTGTTTCAGTATGTTTCAGTTCCAGTCTATTTTTTATCCTCACAGCAAAATTTCATCACAATCAACACCTTCTTGTACTATTACTACCATTTTTGACAAAAACAACATTTTCTGATATGAAAATATTCCATCACAATTTCTTCCTCCAGCTTGAGCTGTAATATTTGTTCAGCACAGTCTATTCCCTGCACAGCAGCTGTGATATCATTGTGCCACAGGCACTAAATGAATGTGAAAATAAACTCAGGACATCTAGCCTGAAGCAGTGGAGATGCAGAGAAGGCAATGGAGCTGTTCTCAGTTAAACTTACAAAGGGCCAAACTTGCACTATGATGTAGAAGATCTGTAGTGACATTTCAAAGCCACTTGCTTTCATCTATTAAAGCTTTCCTGTCTTGAACCTTTGCAGAAATGACTTCTCACCTTCCTAAAGCTCTGCCAAGTCAAATATTTCTCTCACTACCTCCCTGGTTGCTTAAGTACCTCTGAACATATGCTACTTTGATACCAACATCCTCAATCTAATTTATTAGGCTTGCTTGGTTCACAGATGAAGAATTAGCTGATTTTGATAGGACTGGGTATTCAGTTGAAAAGTAATTTGTCATGGTGCTAACCTCTTTTTTATCCTACTTGATATGGGTAAAACCAAAAACCTACTCCTTCTGCTAGAAGCTATTGTTCTTGTGATCTAAAAGACATCACTCAGTGCACCAAAGATTTACAAAGAAGACAGGCTAAATCCTTGCAATCTAATTACTGCCCTTCTTTTCTGCTAAAAAGACCTTCAGTACAATAAAAAAATACCCCAAAAATCACTTAATGTATGAGACAGGCAAAATATTTTGCTTAGATGACAATGGACATGAGTTGCAGCAAAGGTAAGGAAAATATTTTCACTGCACAAGTGGTTGTACACTCAAAAGTTGCCCAGAGAGGTGGTGGAATCTCCATACACCATATTTAAAATTCATTAGGAAGTGGCCTTGATCAACATGACAAACCTTCAAAAGCTTTGGGCAGGAGTAGGACCGGATTATTTCCAGAGGTCTCTTCCAATGAAAATTATTCTGTTAAATTATGACCATGTTTTGCAGTCCTGTGCAGTCATGTCATGCTGACAAGGAGCTTAATCTAATCATGATGCCTCTTAAAGCTGCCTGTAAGCATGCAGCATAAAGATGATCCTCCCAAGAGGCATAGCTAAATCAGGGCTTTTTAGACTGCACATCTGTGTTGTTACTACAAGAGGATAAACTGGAGAAGGACATCATAAAGGTCCATATTTGCTGGGCGTATGTAAAGACATCAAACGTAGAGGAAACCATCAACACAGATTTTGTAGCCCTGTCTTCAGGAGGAGGAATATTTCAAAGCAAGTAGTCAACATGTAACTCAGCAGTCACAACTGTAAGAAAAAAACCTTCAAGTGCTACAGAAGAGCTATCAGATCAACCTCCTTGATGTCCTTTCCTCATAGCCCAGGACTCCACAAAGCTGAGATCACAGCCTAAGAACAATTAGACAAACAAAATGGGCTGTAGGTAGGATCTCAAGAGGGAGGTAGGTGGAAACTCTGCAGCAATCTGAGCTTTCATAGCAGGCTCCTGGCAAACACCTACGCAGAGCTACTCACGACTGTGAGACTCACAGCTTGTACCGACCCACCCAAATCATTCTTTGCTTGGGTGCAGAATGGTAACTGAAGCAGCGCATACACAGAGCAGCGGGAGGAGAGGAGCCCAGAGCAGGGATGAGCTACAGCACAGTATATTGTGGTATACCTCTCATTCCTTATCTCAAGTTGCCCAGGTCAATGATAATTTGTTGTGGTTGACAGTTTTGGTACAAGAGCAGGAGTGGGGAAGTGGAATTAAAAGACCCAGTGACACTGGTATAAGGTAGACTAAAGAGAGACTGTCATGATTGCAATCCTAAATTATTATCTCCGTAGCAATATGTGAATCAATGAATAGTCAGACAGGATCATCCTTGTATTAAAATCTTCTTCACAGTAAAATCATTTCCTCTATTTATATTTTTAACTTAATGAATACTGGGAGATAGTGAAAACTGAGTACACTGGCTAGTAGCTGCCATCTCCTTACTTGGTAGAACTTTGTT